TCTCCTTCCCGTGAAGGTGCAAATGTAACCGAAACAGTGGATAAGAATCATTTGGGCGCTACCGGCTTCCTCACCTGCAATTGTGTAGCATGTTGTGCAGAAATGTAACTGTACGGCTTTATCAAAGAGAGCTACCTCTTCCTTGATGACATGCGCTTGCAAGGTGACATCGCTGTAGAAAGGAGCAGCTTTTGTAAAGGAGGCCGGATTCTTGAAAGAGGAAAAGCCACTCTCAATTGCTCGCAAGGTCAGCGTTTGTATCGCTCGGCCTCTCTGCTGAGACAATCCTGTCTTGTTCCTCAGCAGTAGCTCTCGGTTATGCCCAGTTCCTGAAAATCGTGACAAAGTCAAACAGTAAAAAAAAAAAGCTGGGGTTCTGCTCTTCAAGCTGTCTCACATATTTTTATTTTCATTACTTTAAAGCTCTTTATGTTGTTCTGAGCTGACTTTTAAGGCAGGCTAGCTAATGTGGGAATGGGAACACTGGATAGAGGTTATAATTTCTTAAATGATAAAATCTGTAACATCAGAGTGATGTTACTCTTTTTTCTTTTTAATAGACATAAAATGTTCCTTGACTGACATAGCTCAAATACGTTAGCCCAAATCACAGTTTCTATATAATGCAGTAATGTCTTTTGGAAGACTATATATCCTAATTCAGTCTTTTAATTTTCAGAATTATAGTGGTAAAATTGCATGTTGCTCATTCAACGGCTAATAAACCTATGGATTAAAGATGGAACTATTCGTACTCTTACTCCGCTATGTCTATGCAAGCTATAATTTCAAACTATTGTTTTTTCTAACGCTACCTGACACAAGGTATCCAGTATTCTCTTATATGCAGGCAGCATCAGTCACTGCTAACTCACCATCAGGCTTTTGCACAGCTGCCTGTGTAAATCAAATGTAGGGAGGGAAGTAGAAAATTTTTATTTTTACAATCATTTCTGTTTTGGCAGCAGAAGTGCTGACACGTTATGGCAGGTGTCACGTCTAGGATACAATAAGATAAAACAGAAACCTGGAGAAAAATGCAAAGAAAGTAAATTCACTTGAAATCTTGGCTTTTCTGAAGAACGGTGTAAGTGTTGGGGATTTCACTCCTTCCCCTCTATTTTTAATCACTGCAGTGCAAACTAAAGAATACAAATCAAGGCAAAAATAAATCCATGTTAGCACAATATCATTTGCAAACACAGGTTCTGACATACCAGCATACAATGACTTAGTACTTGAATGCCACCTCTGGTTTAAGATGATGGTGGTGTGTGGCATTTTAAGTATTATGTTGACTTCCATTGTGGTTGCACCCCGGGTCTGGCAGTCTTCAGCGTCAGTCTGAGGAGAGCGACTCGATTTGCACTTCAGAGCAGTTTGAAGCAGGAAGGCTTTTGTCAGCTTTTGTGGCAAAGCCATCACAGAAATGCTTAGGAAGGGTCTGAAATTGGCCCCGTGGGGCATAGTTGCATAAAACGAAACCAGACAAATAGGAATGGGAGAGCTTGATTTACAGCTATCTATATCATGTTGATGCTTTAGATGCCTCCAGATGGGGTGCTGTCACCCACAATTTATCACTGTTCCTGTTTTCCCTTCACTTTCTCTGGATACAACCCCTTCCCCCCCCACAGAAAAGTGCTATTTCCACCTTGTTCTCAGCCAGATTTCAGAACTCTCTGCAGCTGAGGATCATTTAAACAAACATAGACATTGACAGTCAGAGTAGGAATGGTATTTACACTGAATGCAAAACTAAACCTCTCGGTTTTCTCTGGCCAAGTTGAGATCCCAGCCTCCCCAGTTTGATCTCTGTGTGCTGGCTGGTGTTAAAGATGGTAAAAGTAGATGCTGACATCCGATAACCACCTAGGTTAGGACAGGAAGCAGGGAAGCTACAGAGTCACCAGAGTAATCTCAATTAAAATATGACTTTTACTTTAGAAGTGAACGTTTTATCATTCCCACTTCGCCCTGGCAACTGCAGATGTTTGCTGCCAAGAAGGCTGAGGCACCATTTCAAAATGATCTGGCTTTTCATTATTTGCATTTTTTTTTCAGTCCCGCAAAAATAGGTTTAATGTGCCAACCTGAACATGTATGGGGCTGCTCAAGCAACTGTCATGGAAAAAGCTGGCTAATACTTGGATTACACAGATGAAACTCCAGCGTAGAAGCATGTTAAACAGATAAGCCAGGCAGAGTCTGAGAAGGTCATGCTGCATGAAGGCCTACTTTGGAGGTTACTGTCGGGGAGCAGTCTGTGCTCTCTAGATAGTTTTGCTAAGGAATTAGGAGTCCTTTTGTTTGCCTGCTGCTTGCCTACTATTTTGAAAATGTCTGTATGATATTATTATTGTGGAATTACCTATATTAAGGAGGATATTCAGGCACCTTCACTTGCCTGCCAAAGAAAACTTCTCCATGCATGTGCAAAACAAGAAAAGCAGTGGGATTTCCTTGAGAGGATGGGACAGTTGGCTGAGAAGAGGCATGAATGTATCAAGTGAATTTATTTTTTCAAATACCTTTTGTGATATGTGTGAGTAGTAGTGCT